TTTTTTTTTTTTTTTTTTTTTTCTTCGCGTTGCTTTCACGTGCTGCGGTTTGTTGCATCTTGGCCTCATACGGTCGAGTGGCTTTTTACCGGCATGGAAAATGAAACGGCGAAGCAGCTAATTCTCTTTTTTCACATTTTATAATACCTCCTCGTATGCTATGTTATTCCAACCACACCGAGACACGTTTAAGAGCAAAATTATTTTAATAATTTGATTTGACGATCGAGTTGCAATTCGCCTCGCGAGAAAACTTTCTTTGTCGTATCTTCATCGTGCTATCGGTATTTAACCAACTACTGAGCAAGTTTGTACCGATTATGACGAACGAGAATTGATAAACGAGTCAGCTACTATTTAAGAGACTCGCTTATCATAAATACTAATATTTCCATCGATTACGTGGTAGCAGCTCGTGTGTGCAAATGACATTAGCGACAGGCATTAACAAGTATTCATTATCGTGAGATACGATTAAGTAACCCCAGATAATTGAACGGTATTAGGTGAATATTTTATGTAATCATTGCTCCATAATTCTTATATCTATTTAAAGGATGGTGTACAATCATAAACATTTTTAATGTTCAACCTCCTGTTTTTCTCTCTTTCTTTATTTCTTTTCAATTCTTTTTTTGAGTTATCGATTTTTATGAATATTGTTCGAATAATTCCACTGTCAATTGAAATTCCAATTGTGCGTTTCGCTGTATCATCAAATGCTGGCTTAAGCAGATTCCAGTAGCAGTATGCGCCTGAGGTTACGCCACGAAAAAATAGCGACAACAGATACATTATCAGCGGTATTCCAGATTACGAAATGGATTCACTTCATATTCTTGATACTGCGACTCTACAATGTCGTCTAGCTAATAAATTTCACAGCTGCAATCAATGATCTCCAGTCGTAGGCTGCCTGCGCTCTTTCTTACTGTATCAGATCGACTCGACCGTTCTGTTGCTCGAGTTAGTTTGAGAGTTTGCTACATTAAAGAAGATTTTATCGGAAATTCATGATAAATCGAGATAGAAAGACAAACACGATGTTTCGAAATCAATAGGTATAGGATCGATATTAACACCGGTGTATGGAGAAACCGGAGCAGACTGTAAGATTGTGCAGAAGTTGCTCAGCTACTTTCTAAACGAGGACAAGAAAGCTCAGATCCTTTCCCGATGCCTGAACTGGACGATGTTTCTCATTGATCTGTAACCTTCTTTTAAGTACTTTCTCGACACGTCCATTCACTGCATTGTCTTCTCTTTGGGGCACATTATGTCGCAATTTTGTCGGTTTGTATTGGTTAGATAAAATTTGAATGAATGAAATTGTCATTTCTCAATGTAATCTTCGTTTACAACATATCGACATAGCAACTCTCGATTTTTTTAGCAGCTATAATGAGAACCTTATGATGTCATTGACCTTCGTTAAAATTCAAAGACTAGTACCTTAGGACCGCTGACTCGTGGGGTGCTTCGTAACCAGTTCTTCGCCTTGATTACGAAACCATCTTAAATGAGCTGCCCAAACCAAATAGTAGATGCAATGCTTACGATTAGCCACGTCTCGAGCTTTTATCAGAGATAATTATTTTATAGAGATAATAGCAAACGTGTAAATATGCTAACTTTTAGTTCCAAAAGTACACAAAATCTGAACCGTAGGATCACAAATCTTTGAAATTCCATGTCCAACACGTGATCTGTTTCGCAATTGTTCATTTAAAATAATTTAATTTTCATATTGAAATTTATCATTGTGAAAAAGAAGTAGGAATAATAAGAGTTCAAGAACAAATTTCGAGACTATTAATCCATTTTCCTAGTATTTTCCTAATATTTTTGAAACGTCTGTTCTAAAATGATACTTTTGTTTTAGGTCGCTCGCGAACGTTACTGTATACGAAACAGCTGATGGACGATGAACTGCAGCAATATAGCGAGGAGTTGCTGCAGGAGGTTGAGGGTCTTCTGGATCACGATTATAGCCCAACGATTCAACCACCGCTGTACAAACGTCCTCGCATGGATACGGAATCACCGCCGAAATGCGTCTCATCCTCCGATCACATTGGAGGGACGCTTTGCGGAAGACAAGATGCTATGATAAAACCGAGCAGAAAATACATTGAGCCACCGTTGGACGATGTTTGGCCACCACCAAATCCAGGTGGGCAGAAGAACACCAAGGTGGTGGACAAACTCGAGGCATTAACCAACGAACTGAAGATTAATATTTCTGATTCCGAGGGCATGAGGACTATCCTCTTAAAAGTGCCTCAGGAACAGTAGGTCAATGCAGGAGACCCAGTGTCACGACATTATATTTTTCTATAATTTTTGTTGTAATCCTTTGCGATCGCATCTATATTCTATATAATATTTCCTGGAGACGTTTCTGGAGGAAAGAACTAGAGACCACAAAAAAATGGACCACCGAAAGTTCTTTAAGTATGTGTTGTTCATAATAATTAGAGGATCTAGAAATGACTGATATATTAACAAACTGTAATATCTCTAAGTATGGAAGGTTAAAGGTGGATGAAATTATGAGTAAATGTTTTTTTTTCCCTTTTCAATTGATTATTATCGGAAATTTTAAAAGATTCTCAGTTATTTTGAACCATACATTTTTCTCCAGTTATAACAATTTCTTCTAGGCAAGAAATCGTAAATAATTGAACGTCAATTAAATTGAACTCCTCCTGATAAGAGTTATATGCAAAGAAAGAATAGAGAATTCGTTAGGGTGTCTCGTACTTTCTAATTAAATTTTCTGCGTGGATATTTTTTAGGGACTAATGAGAATTTGCTCGGCTAGCATGTTTAGTCGGCATTTTTCATTAGCCATACGATTAGAAATTTTCATTCGCAAGTCCATAGTTTTAAGGATAGTTTTCTGAAGTCACGCGTGTTCTTCTATATTTGGCTCCTATTCTCGCGTGTTTTTGTCGTCATCGAAGCTATTTCACATTCATTCATACTTCATTCGCGCTTTTATTCATTGATATCTCGCGTAAAAATTATCGTACGAATTTCATAAATTAGATTATTCATCACTCATTGCGTTTATTATAGTCAATTGCACGCCATCATACTTAGGTATCAATCGTCTTTAGGTAATTTTTCAAGAATTTTTATCGATTGAACGATATTTAAGATTTATCTATTTATAAGAAGAATTTATTATGAGAGTTTTACAGTTATTATTGATGTTGCCGATGGTAAGAGAGAAATTTGTAAATAGTCATTATATAAATCGTCGAAACGACACAGAAAGATATATATTATTATTACTATTACTATTATTATTATTATTTTATATGTATGTATGTATGTATATGTATGTGTGTGTATATGTGTATATGTATATATATATACATATATTATAAAAGAAATATATCGTAGCTTTACCTTTATAAGATACGATTTTTAATTCTGTACTAAAGTACACGAAAGATCCTATTTATGGAAGTATCGTAGTAAATTGTAATTAATTCGTTGTTAAAAAATTTGTTTTTATATATACATATAATACACATAAACAAATGTGTATGTTTCCATCCTTTAACACGTGATAGATTTGATTATCCGAAGGATAAGTTTCATCGTACACTTCTTGGGGGCTAGGGTATTGCAGTGTTAATAATTAATTTAATATTATATCGTATGTGAAGTTTGCGAAATGCAGATCAGAGGTGCACTTGCTACATCAACCACAAGTGAAACGTATTTAAGTGAGAACTGTGTGTTATCGACACCAGGTTTGAAGACTGTACCATAAATTTTGTCGCATCATGACACATTTCTTATTCCTTCTTCAAACTCGACACATTTTCCCCGCCTCGTTTTAAACAATTCCTTACGTTTCTTAATTAAGTTATTAATTTTTACTTTATATGCAACTAGGAAAGCAACGTACATATAAAAAAAGGATATGCAGCGAATTGTAAATAAATATACGACACGAGAACTTTTGTTTCATAGTTCGTACTTATACTAATTTTCTCTTTCTTTCCGATGAAATTCCTGGAAGAAGGCAAACGCGCACATGGAACAATAAACGAAGAAATTTGAGACGTAAAATTGGACTCTTTCTTTCATAGGATAGCATGATTTCGCGCATTTAGAAGTTTTGTCGTTCTTCCAAAGAATTATAATTGCATACACGTATATTCGATGTCGATCAATATCGATGCCGAAGCACCGACTACGACTTTTATTTAAATAAGTTCAACGATACATTCCTACCAATAATGTTCATTCAAAAATAGAACGATTCTATTTTTGCACGTATGTAGAAGGGTTAAAGGTATTACATTCTAAATTTGATTCAATATACGTGTAACGACATTAGAAAATAAAATGTTACAATCAGAACATGCTACCGACGTCTTTTTTTTTCTCCCTTTTTCAATCTAAAAATTCTTTTGAGGTTATATTCATAAGTAAAATTTGTATAAAGAAAAGAAATTGTATAATGTAAAAGGTATTCATGTTAATATTTTTTCAAGTTTGAAGAAAAAAGAAATAATTTAAAATTCGAATCTCGTCATACCTAATCTATGGCCACTGCAGCGCCACATGCAGAAGGAAAGGAAATTGTTACTGGATTGAGAGTAAAGTCTTAACTATCTTTGCTTTATGGTATTTTCATTTTCCCGCCACAACTTACCTGCAACAAACTATTTTAAATATCAACAAAAAACTGTGATATCTTTAAAAAATTGATATTTATCGAGTTATTAATAAAATATAAGTAAAATGGAAGACTTGGAAAATTTGGCTGATCTATTACCGACTTACTATGCCAGATTATTTCCTTTTTATGATTATTATCGCTGGCTCAGCTATGGAAATGGTATGTCATTTATACCACTGTTTTCGATGCATACAAAGAATAATCTCTGACCTTGTAACTAATAATCTGAATTACTTCTAACTAATATTATTATTGATATAATTGTGTTGTTACAGTGAATACATTTACCCATAGAGAATTTTCATTCACTTTACAAGATGATATTTACCTTCGCTTTCAATCGTTTAAAAGTATGAAAGAGATGGAACATGAAATTAAAAGACTACTTCCTTTTAAGATTGATATAGGAGCAATATATAATTACTCGTAAGCATAACAAAATTAATACTTGTTTAATCCTCAACCAAAATAATAAATATTTTTTGTTTAGTCCAAAGGATCAACGTAAAGGCTCAAATTTCTGTCCCATTGAAAGAGAGCTGGTATTTGATATAGATATGACTGACTATGATGATGTAAGAACGTGTTGTAGTGGTGCAGATATTTGCTGTAAATGTTGGAAATTTATGGCACTGGCTTGTAAAATTTTAGACAGTGCTTTAAGATGTAAGCATAATTAAATAAGGTATTAAAAATATGTGCATATTAAATATACATTTAATGCTGCAGTGGATTTTGGATACAAACACATCTTGTGGATATTCTCTGGTAGAAGAGGTATCCATTGTTGGGTATGTGATCCTAGTGCACGTAGCTTGAGTTCACAGGAACGTGGTGCAGTAGCAGAATATTTGCAAGTTATAGATGGTGGTGAATATATGAAGAAAAAAGTGAATTTGCCTGGTGATAGAATACACCATTCCATTAAGTATGTAACAATTATATAGATTAAAGTCAATTTTATTTTTCTTTAAATTATTATTTTGAATAACATTTTTTATATTTTTAGACGTGCACTAGAAATAATAGAAGCTGTTTTTGTTCCATTCTGTATAGAAGAACAAAATATATTGGGAACTGAGAGTGGAATAGAAAAATTTCTTCAAATACTTCCTGATGAAGAGGATAGAAAAGAACTAAAAACACTCTTTGGTCAATGCAATTCTAGCAAAGATAGATGGAACCTATTTGTTAAATATATTAGAAACAAAAAGCCAACGGTATTTTATAATAAAAATAATTATTAATAAAAATAATTTTAATATTTTAACACATAATTTTAGGGAGATAAAAAATGGTACCAGTATCGTCATTTAATAGAAGAAATAATGCTACAGTATGCTTATCCAAGGTTAGATATACATGTCAGCAAAGGAATGAACCATCTTTTGAAATCTCCCTTTTGCATTCACCCAAAAACCGGTAAAGTTTGCATTCCGTTCAACGCGAATACGGTGGATAAATTCGATCTCGACAAAGTTCCAACAATTACAACATTGATCGAAGAAATAAATAAATTTGATCTAAAAGATAAAACTGAACAAGAGACATACGACTTGAACGCAAAAAGAATAAAGGATTATAAAAAAACTAGCATTAATAAATCGTTACATATCTTTAATGAATTTCTTTGCAAGTTAGAAAATGAGAGAAAAGAGCAGAGACTCAAAGAAAGTGGTAAATATTTTAACTTTCATACCTAAAAAATAATCATAAACAAAAAATATCTTTATCTTTTTATTTTTCAGATGAGAAAATGGAATTTTAGAATATATCTATACTTTTTTTTTAGTAAAATTATAAATAAAATTAAAACAGAATAATATAATTTTTTGATTTGTACGGAAATTTGCTTCTCTTTAAGTAAACAAATCATGCATATTAAATCCTATCAAATATGCTAAAACTAAGTCTAAAACCTGTGATTCTTGCTAATGTCCAACAAAATTTCAAATACTTAACTCAAAGTAAAAGACAATAAATTCTTAAAATTTTTGTCTATTATACGATACAAGTAAAAGATTTTTATGAAAGATGTTTTGATATCAGTGCATGTAAATATTCGAATTAAGTATATTTGCCATGTTTTGATTACTATTTTGATGTTTAATAATTAAACTCTATGTATCATAAAACTAAATTAATAGTTAAATAATAAACATTTTATTAATTTAAATAATAAACATTTATTTATTTCATTTTTCACTACATAATTAAATCATATAAATCACACAAACAAAAATAATAGTTCAAGAAATTTCTGATTACTTACATTTATAATTTTCGACTACTAGCGCCATCTATGATTTTGATCTCGAAGCTCGGATTCGGTAATAGGAACACAGAATGTACGAGAAGCTCATTGAAACAAGCACCTAGCGCCATCTATGTTCGTGTTACCAAATTTGAGCTTTGAGTCGAAGCTCACAGATGGCACTGATGTTACTCGAATAGTTTACTAACTCTGGTTATGTGCTTCTATAATACATTTTAATAAATCAATTCGGCAGTGGAAAATTCACCAATTACACACTATCTGTGATTAATTTATGAACTTTTATAATTGCATCGTAAAGCCAGATTCTTCAAGAACTTTCCAATATATTTTTCGATATAAAATTGTCCCTAATTAATTAATTATTAATAATTGTTCTGCGCAGTGTTTGAATTGTTGTCGAAAATTGTCGAAGACGCCATTGGTTTTTCATTAATTACTACCCTTTACGCAATTAATTTATGAAACTTTATGCACTCATTATAAAAACAATGTTCTTGCGAATCTTCTTATATAACTTTTGATCACATTTTGATTCTAGTTTCGTTTAGTATTAAATATTTTCACGGAAGGTCGTGATGGTCGCCGTTACGAAATCATAGACGCCATAAAACAAAAATTAGTAACTAACAATTTAGAGTTAAATTCTTTACGAATATTATATAAGAATGTAGCCTGAAGTTCCAGCTTTGCAATGAAATTATAAAAGTTCATAAATTAATTACAGAAATTGAGTAATTAATAATTTTTCATTGCCGGAGCCATTCTATTCTTTTCTATCCCCTCTCTGTCCTTGTCTACCACGTGACCAGCTCGTCGACGACCTCCTTGTCTATTCTATGTTCCTATCACTTTTCCGAGCAAATGATCCAAAACTATAGATGGCGCTGATCGCCGGCGGTAAAACTTTGATTCGAATTAGATACTAGAAATCAATTCGACAGTAGAAAATTAATAAATTTCCAAGTTTTTGTAATTAATTCATGAACATTTATAGCTGCACAGCAAAATTGGAATTACAGACAACATTCTTATACAATTTTTGTACATAATTTGATGCTAGTTAATTTTTGCCTTGGTGTGGTCAAAAAGTTTGTCAAGAAGCAATTAATACTTACATGAGCGATAGATTTTGTATATCCTGTATATAATGATTATATTTTTATGTTCTTTCTGTAGTAAATAAAATTGCTATAGAAAATTTTTTCTTGCATAGTATTCTTATTATTTTGTAACAAATATATACTAGCATAAGAAAACGTAAAAAATAAATTTTTTTATTTACAAATTTTATTTATAATTGTTTATTTACAATGTTTTCGTAAGCGAAAAATGCATATAAAATATAAAATAGATTGAAAAGAAAGAACTTCGGGGTGTATAGATAGGGAATCGAACCCCGGCCTTCAGTGTGGGAGTTTTCGAATGTCACCGTTAGACCACAACAGCATTTAAAAGCGGTAGGAAATAAAGCTCTAGTTATAGAGGTAATAAAACTTTAATCTTAAATATTTCAAAAGCTATTGAATAATTGCATCTATTATGATATATTTTCTTGAACTGCATGACAAAATCTACAAATCTGCACAGTTTCAACTAAATCGATGACTCGAAGGACTTGTATTCTCCTGTAAGGAAAACTATGAAAATAATAATGAAGGCGGCGTAGTAATGGTAAGGAGTATGTCTTTAGCTTTAAGTGGGGAAACTGGTAAACAATGGTGGGAGTAATATATCGACAGCGGAGAATAAATTCAAGAGCTTTGACGTAGATGATCAATCAACGCATTTAATACGCATATTAATGTTTCTGGAGTTATATTACTAAATGTTCTAATGATGTGGTCTTTCGTATTTCCTGAAGTTGTAGGCAACTCAAGACGAAAACCATTTTTTAGGTACTCTCAAAGATAATCAAGTAAATTTAAAACCATAAACAAGAATCATATCTTGCATTCTGATGGATTATTATTGTAACGAAGGTGTTTATCAGTTTGTATAGACTGATGACTTATTACTAAGGAATTGATTTACGCAACAATAACATGGAAGATTCTACATGTTAGTAAATAAAGACGAGCGTTATATTTGGATTCCTCGTATATTAGTAATTATATTACTAATATAAACATTTAACTCAAAGTTCTTACGTTTTTTCTATAAAATTTCATTCATTATCCAATAATTAGTCTTTTTTTTTGACACAGTATTAGCACGAATCATTAATAAATTTACAAATCACAAAGAAACATATCTTTTAATTTTTTGACCATGCTGTTAAATAATTCTAGAGTATTATGTAAGACATTAATTTTTCGTAAACACCAAATCACTTTAAAGTATTAAAAGAAACAACCAAAACTGCATTCTTCGGATGTTTTAACGTACTGCCTGACGGGAAGTAAAAGAATAACGCGTACATTCCATTCTGTCTCGTTCTGCCACCATATCGAATGCATTCGTAACCGGTTAGCTCTCACGAACGCCACCTTAACTACGCTGTAGAATCGTGACCGAACCAGCACTAATTCTATTTGTATCTGCCATTTTGCGATCGGTAAACAGGCGCGTCTTTTCATTCAAGAATTCAATTCCCGGAAATAGAAGTTCAGTCGCATGTAAATCGATTGTGATATAGTGTCTCTTAATGACCGACTGACGTCAGCAACGAAAAGCCGTGACGAGATAAACTTTTTTCTCTACCTTACCATCCCGACCAGTGAGTCATAATTGCACGGTAATGACATTTGTGTCACACGCGACATGCACTCTACGTTTCACCTGCTAAACGCTTTCTCAAGGTCCCCGTATTTATATTCATCTTGAGACAACTTCATTTAATGCACCTACACATTGTCGGTAATCGTGTTTTATTTAGCGTATTTTTCGATAATATTTCAAGCACGATTGTTTTAGCTCAATTTAATCGGTGCATTGTTTTATTTACACTGGACCGTTTTTACTCATCTACTAGCCTTGTTCCTCTCTCAACGATACATGTAAGTATTTCTCCACGACCGTGCGATTCTCACACGTCAACTTCGATCTCGTTCCTACTACGCGTAACACGATTCACACTCTGATTTATTTACGCTTTTCCGTTATTTCGTGATTCGCGGAATTCCCTGTAATCATTCTCTGTTGTCTTGTGATCGCTATCAACTCGTTATTAGTAGGTTAGATTGACATTCGTCGTGTATGGATGCGTAGGTACGCATCGTAATACAATTTTTTTTCTTCAACGAACGGAACTTTCACCACAATTGTCACTCTAAATTGTGCATATTAATAGAAGTCTTAATCTGTATTTAATTCTTATTTTTGATTTCATCATTAGTTTTATTATTTCTTTGTACCTAACTGTCAATTATTTCGAATTTATGAGTATATAACTGCATCTATTTTATTTACAGGATGCCATTGTATCATTAATGAAATAGGACAATTTGGAGTTGTATTTAACTTTCTAAACAACTAATTAATATATCAAACCGAATTGGAATATTCTTAAAATGATGGACATTGACCCTCCACAATTTGTATCTAAAGATGACGAAATTCAGTATTGGATGGAACTTGCCCATCAAATACATAGAAAGTGAATTATCTTTATATTTCTAAATATTGTAAAAGTAGTATATCTCATTACATATTCATTTAAAATTAGATTGAAATTGATGGAATGTTTATTCATAAAATAAATATTATTGTGATACTATAGGAAAGTAGATATAGAAAGAGAGTTGGAAGAATTTCAAGAAAATTCACAGTTACTAGAAAATGAATTAGAAGCATCATTAGAACAAGCAGAAAAAACTAATAGAGAATTACGACAACGAAATACAAGATTGGCTACTGAAGTTGAACAATTAAGAACAAGATTAGATCAACAAACAGCAGATTGTGCAATGTTTCAAGGAAAGACTCAAGACTTACAAACACAGCATGACCGTTTATTAAAGTACATAAGGGAATTAGAACAAAAAAATGATGACTTGGAAAGGGCTCATAGGTATATGAATATTATTTTATTGTGCTAAAAATTACATAATAAATTAGTATAGAATATTTAATATCAATTTTTATCTACCTTAATTTTGCAGAATAAATAAGGTAACAGAAGAGGAAATAGAAGCTAAACTTAATTCTGCCATTGAAAAGAATGCTTTGTTGGAATCAGAACTTGATGAAAAAGAAGCTCTAAAAGTTATAGTGCAGAGATTAATGGATGAAATTAGAGGTTAAATAATTAATTAAAAATTTTATATTTTAACTGAACAAATTGTTTCTAATAATTAATTTTATTACAGATTTAAAACAAGAAATCCAAATTCAAGAAAGGCATCAACCAGATAATGATAAATCAGTCGACAGAGTTCGTAACCATGTTGATAGTAATAAACTTCAAGTTGAATTGGAAACACACATGTCGCCTAGTAGCCCAATAGTACCACAATCCATACCTTCAAATAATACAACAACTTCACCATTAAAAAGTAAGATCCATAATACTCTTCGTAAAACTAAGCGCATGTTTTGCTTTGGACCTAAAAGATGATCTTTATGATTATTAAAATTAATACTCGACAGAAAAAATACTTGTATCTAACAAATCAAAAATTATTATGATCAACTGGTGGATACAAAATTTGAACTTAATTGTCTTCTTAATGTAATATTATATATATATTTTGTATATTATCTGACATTTTTTTATGATAAATGAATTTTTTTATTTATTAATATTTAAGACTAACCAAATAAAAGTTTGGTCTAATATTTGTGCTTGATTAACATACTTTAGTGTGCTTCAATTAATTTTATCTTTCTGTGTATATATATATACATATGATATTGTTAACAGCGAAATAAAAATTATTTTAACAAACTTGTTCTTTATTTTAGTTTCTAAATATTACATTTTAAATACACAAGGATGTTAAATTAAAATTTTGTTTATATTTTATTAAAGTGTTATTGTGCAGTTTAATATTTTATTTATTTTGTATCAACTTTACTATTGTACATCTGTAGTAATTTATATCTTTTCCTGTTTGCAATTAGTTGGAAACAGAGTTGTAGGGGGTGTAACAGGAAACAACAATAACAATAATAATGTGAATCCACCTTTGGCATCGTGTACAAGAATATTAGCAATGAACATGATTGGTGACCTTATGAGAAAAGTTGGTGTAAGTATTATGTTTTTATGTTCTTTTGTGTTAAGAGCACACAATGATATATGAAAGTAGCTTGAAGCATGGCTTATGTACCTTTGAGTTTTAAATGTATTTAGTTGCCATAGATATTGAATTCGGTATTGGCAACTATTCTAATTTGCATAATCCATTTTTATCTTTTCTTTTTCCCTTTTTTTTAAAAAAAAATACTTGATTTATTTGCTGTGAAATGTTTTTGTCATAAAATAATTTAATTTAAATAATTTGTATTTATAAAATGCTTTAATATTATATTAGTTGATGATACTGGTAGTGTGATGTAGTTGGTGTTTTGGTAGCTTGACAGGTGGGTCTGTATGGACTGTAGGAGGGTAAAGTGCACTTGTCTGGGTGGGAAAAAAACAATTTCTACTACACCTACCGATTTACCATCTATCCAGGTTCATACACCTACTCATTGTATATGGCAACAACCTAGATCAACCAAGTGCTGATCAAGTTTTTGTGTACAGGTCTTTATTTGATTTCTTTTGTTTCTATCGCATATTTTTTTTCTGTACACATTCACCATTCCTTGCATCCTGCCTTAATTGTGCTATGTGTAACTGGTATCGCCAATTTCAAACATTCATTTTTAATATTTTCTTTAATCATAATATAAATATTGACAAATAATAATATTTTTAAGAAATGTAATAATATCCTATTTAACAATAAATATTTAATCATATAGGCATTGGAGAATAAGTTAAACACCTGTCAAAATCCATCTCGAGAGGATCAAGCTGTCCGTGATCTTTACAGGTAACATTAGAACAATGTTATAATATTAAAAAGTCACGTCATTGTCTTTGTATCGTTGTGCACTGCGTGTATTTGTAGTAAAGAAATATCATGTATCAGAAGTATGAAAATGAATGAAAAAAAATTAATAAATTTTTTTTTTGTATGAATATTCCCTTCAGTGAAGGGATTTGTAATGACATTGTTCAAAGTGATACATGATAGTCATCAATTAAATCAATTGTACTTATTACTACTTTTATGTTAACTTTTAGTTATGTAGTGCTTCCTGTGAACGTTAAATTTACGAATTTATGGATGATGAAAGCTTCTCATGATCCCAGTTCTCTAGCTTTTTAGTTATTAAAATGTTCAAAACATTTAAGAAGACTGCATTAAGTTTTGAATAGCTCATATTATCGCTTGCGCTACTAATTAAAACGGAGCATCTTGTTTTTTCATGTTCGTATATGTAAATTTTTTTATGCGTTCTAATTGTTAATAATATCCTTAGAGAAAGTGATCAAAATTAATCAATATGGTATTAGAAAATAAGCTAAATTTCAAAGCTTTTATATTAATTTCATTTCCTCTGATCATTTAATAATTTTTTTGCATTCTATAGTTAATCTTTATCGTTTATCATATGTTGATGTAAACATATACCTAATATAAGAGGTATATAATTAGCTACTTAGCTTTTCTTTGTGATTTAAAAGAGTACAATATATCAATCTTTTATGGTAATTTGCTAAGATCTTAATAATCTAATTTGTAAAAGACAGAAATTTCTATTAAATTTAGACCATTTTTAAATATTTAGCAATATACGTTAAATCGATTTAGGACATGTCTTTTCATTTAATTGTGTATACCTTTTTAGTAACTAAAATTATGAGAAAATTCCATTATTTTTTTATTATTAAGATCTTTAACAAACCAGATTAGCATTTAGTTTTAATAGTTCCATTTAAGTATTAAGTATATGTAGAATGAAATTCCATTAAGTTAATTACTGTTATTAGTGTAATATATAAGACAAATAGAAACATTTGGTATTGTACACAAGTTATAGATACACCAAAAATAATTTTTAATGAAAATCAAGATTTTCATATTAATTACATTACAGAATTTAGCTTCTAAAATTATAGTCTAACTTTTTAGATTAAAATGTATGTAAGTTTTAGTACAGAAAACTTTCCATTTTATATTTTTCAATACATTATGAAATAAACATAAGTTAAGTACTTTTTATATCACTAAGAAATTCTTTTGCGCATTTGATTGATCTAATAGTTATACAAATTTTTGTCAAAAGCTATTAGAATCGAAATTATTAAATTTTAATAAAAGTAGTTACTAAATTTTATGATGTATGACAAATGCAAAAATAAGTTGGAAGACTCAAATATTTCATAATATATGTATACTTGTACATAATAATTGTATATACTTACTGAAAGTAATAATTTGTGCAATGAAATTAAAATATTTTTTTAGATTATAAGACCAACAAATACAAATTATGAAATACCAATTGTAATCATTAAATTTTTACTGAAAGAATTTTATCATTCTATAATGGCATTAATTGATACAAAACAGTGCTGTTAACAATGAAATTGTGTGATCTATAAAAAAAATATTTATGATTCATTTTAGCAATATTTTGATATGAAACACAAATAGTACTCTATGAAATTTAAATTTTTAGAGTGAAGTCTCTATAGTCTTCCCTGTCATGTAACAAAAAATGTCAAGTAACAAGTTTCTACAAACTTCAACATTAATTCTATAATTCAACATTAATTGCATTGTTAATTTCTGCATTTGTAACATGTTTTTCTGCATGATATTTATGTGTCACTTCCTTACTTTTGTTGTTAGTAATATTCATAAAGTGTATGCAATAAAATTACCCAAGGTATTTTTCATATTAAATTACTTAGATGTATATTAAATGTGCACAAAATAGAACTTGCGTTTTGTTGTTCAAATCATGCATTAACATAAAATATTTAATGTAAATAAGATTCATCTTAAAGAAAACCAAGTTTCATTGAATTGTAATTCAAGGTATCTTTCATATGCATACTGTACAATTTATGCATAATCCATAATCATGTACAGCATTTCTCAATCTTCTGCTATATTCCTGTTGTTGTATCTATCTATGCATAGTTTAATATATTAAGTTGTACATAATATATTAAATAAAATAATAACAAAATAGCAAATTTACAATAAACAATTTAAAATAAAATAATGTTCCGAAACTAATTGTGCATTATTGTATAAAATACTACTAAAATACGATTGGGAAACGCTGATTTAAATGTATATTTGTTTATTATATTTAGGTATTTATAAATTATATCTCTCAATGTAAAATGGTAACAAAAGAATATTAAATTTTTTCAATTAGGACTAGACGGCAAGTTCGAGGTTTTGCCTCTGGCAACAGCAACCACATTCGATTATAAACAACGGATAATATTCCAAGAATAAATTTTGTGCATTGTATGTGTACGGCTATTAATCGTGTTTTTTTTAATTAAAAAATCTGACATTAAATTATTATAAATTTGTATTATAGAAACAAAATTGTTTCGAACAATTTATTTATTATTTATCTACATTTCGATTATTTAATCTTTTCTAAGATTGCGATTTTTTGAAATTATTCTTATTTTTCTTACAATTCAAATATATACCTATTATGAAGGAAATTTGTAAATAAACATTCGAAATTGTAAGTATAAAATTAATCTTGTGATAAGTGAAAATTCTAGTTAAGTATTATAATTATGTTGTGTAATTATACACAAATGATATGAAGAAGAGGTACTTTGGTAAAAATCAAGTTGTTTCAGATAAAATTTTGTAAATACATATTTTTACATGACTTTTTACGTTAAAATAAATTGTTCAAGAATTAATTTTACAACTCTTGCTCATAATTTAAAAAAGAAAAAACAAAAAATTAATATACTTCATCATCGTCAAAATTATTAACTATCCATTGTAATAACTTGATTCAACGTGTATGTTATGCTTTATTTTTCTGTAAGATCTATTCTTTTTGTAATTATTTAGTTTATTTTACTTTCATTTTGTACATGGTATCTTTTCAATAGTTTATTGCTATATTTCAATATTTTCTTATAAAAATAATGAACAATTTTGATTGTTCATTAATTTCTGAAACAATATTTTAGTGCAACTTTTATTACACCCATTAACAGCTTTTGTGATTATAGCTTTAATAGCATATTATCACAAAGAAGTATTTTTTGAACACTTAAGCTGTACCATGCTGTGCAAATTTTCATCTATATTTAGAATTGGATATTGTATGCAATGAGAAAATAGCAACTTATCACTTAGTTCATTATACGTTAATTAAACGTATAAATATTTGTATGTTTTTATTATGGAGAATATCCTTTATTTTTTTCTAATACTGAATATTAAACAAACCAAAAATCCTAATTTGGTAGACATTTAGTACCAAAGTTTCGTGTTAGTTAAAGCTATATCATATAATATAGCGTACATAGTGTTTTTCACATCAATTATTTTGATTTAATTTTTTATTATAGCTCTTTTTATAATAATCTGCCAATTTTCCAAGTATAATTTAATTCTATGTACTAAATCCTTTAAATTTCAATAATTTTTATTATAATTATATTTAAAATTTATATTTATTATTAAATATTTAAAATTTATTTGAAATTAATTTAATTTATAATTAAATTATATTTAAAATTAAATATTTATAAAATTTTATCTGGAAATAACTAGTACATGATTTCTACTTGAGTGCTTTCTCTTAAATAAACACAATTTATGAGCTCTTATTTTCAATGTATAGTTCTAGTATGATTGGATCTTCAACCATATTAAAAATGGTATTGTAACACTTAGTGCAAATCTAGCTTTTAGAGAGTGTTAGATATACATCTATTTTTTAATAACGAAAAAAATTTTTTGTGTTGTAAAATAATTCAATTTTATACTTTAAAATACGCAAAAGCTATTCAATTATCTATTTCAATATAAATTATATGCTTTTATGCCACTGCATAATTATAATTATAAACTGCTTTAAATTCTGGAACATTCGTATAAAGTAGAACCATACTAACTCAATTAGCTAAAATTTAACATATTCAATTATATTATTGAATAAAATGAAGATTATTAATTCGTAGTTTTCGCTTAATGTATAAACTAAAAAAAAAAAAATTATTTAAATGAAATTATATAGTACCAGTTTACGCTAATAGTTAATTGTATCTGAACTGAATTTTCGAACGAAAAAAAGTAACAGAATACCCAATATTTGTACTATAAATTTGTAAAGGTAAATTGAACTATTTGTAAAATAAAGATATTGTAAACAATCTTTCAATCAATGCATAATTAAAACTCCTTGAACCTAATCTACTTAAGTAACAGTGCATATTTCATATAAGACAGAAAAAGGTAAGTTAGTGTTATTTTGAAGATTTATTTATGAAACGTTTATCTTTACACGAACAATGAATAGTTGACTGATTGAAATACCTTATACAATTTTCGTACAACCAGAGTTCTAGCATGGTAAACACTACATTGAATGCCTACAAAGAAACTGTCTTACTTTCTAATGCACATTTTACTATGTATTGTACCAATAATGATAATGATGACAAATATAATAAAGCTGTAATAAGAAACTAAATACTTCTGATCTTATTCAATCTTAAGTGTACTTTTAGAAGAATTAACAATTTCACTTGTCTTTTATTATGATTATTTATCTTCTGGTTTTAGATTTTTTTTTAATAAGTATTCTTACTTGATAAAGTGTAAAATGACAAAAAGATGTAAATGAAATTAACGAAGTAAAACTCGTAACTGATAATTTTTGAAGAAATAACATACTTTCTACGTTTGTACATTAATACCAAAAGATGAAAACTACCTATATGTTAAAAACAGTTTATACCAATTTTCGTATCTATTTTCCAGAAATCTGAAATTTAGATACGTATTGTAAAGGATGAACATGTCATAACTTGTACATGGTTATGGAGTACAACATAATATGTAGTTTGGAATGAAAATGTTTCATCCATGACTGTTACGAATGATAATAATAGTAGTAAATGGTATGTATGGGAGTTACATATTATTTAAGCACGCTCGCCACGAATTCGTCGAGCCAGTTGGATATCCTTGGGCATAATTGTAACACGTTTTGCATGGATAGCACACAAGTTTGTGTCTTCAAATAAACCGACCAAGTATGCTTCTGAAGCTTCCTGTAAAGCTCCAATTGCAGCACTTTGGAAACGAAGATCAGTTTTGAAATCCTGTGCAATTTCACGAACCAATCTTTGGAAAGGTAATTTCCTAATCAATAACTCAGTTGATTTTTGATATCTTCTGATTTCTCGAAGAGCTACTGTACCAGGCCTAAAAATTGCATTTCATTTTAGATATATATGAAATTTATTTTAATGAATACATATTGATATGTTTATTTAAAATTTACCTATATCGATGTGGTTTTTTTACACCACCAGTAGATGGTGCACTTTTACGTGCTGCCTTTGTGGCTAGCTGTTTACGAGGTGCTTTACCTCCAGTTGATTTACGAGCTGTCTGCTTAGTACGTGCCATTGTTTACTCTAAAATAATACAAATATAATTAATGAAAAAATTTCTATTTATTTGAAACTTTTAAAAAATATACTTTTTATATTAAATCGGAAAATTGTAGTATACATGTAAATATAAAAGTTTATACATCAATATATTTGTTATTCAATTTATTTTTTACATTACACATAAATAATTTTGAAGAAACGTATTTTCAATCGTGAACGAACGCGGGAAAAATTATTTTAAAAGGTATACTTGATAACTAGAGTAAACGAAGTTTTGGAGTGGGAAGAAAAACATGGTGGGGTAATAAGAGTGGGGGTATGTTCCGTTGCTGTTCGTGCGGAGGAACCGCGCACCGAGGAACGCTGCGCATTGCGCAATGCACAAACTTTCGTTCCTCTTGTACCGACGCGAATAAAAGCCACGCTAACTAGAAAAATGTATTATCCTAACGAGCAGGTATTTTCACGTCTCCCAATTATTCCATTGATAAACGGAATCATAGCTTGTCCAATAAAATCGAACAAATGACACTCGTCGTGAAACAAATCGAAAGCGTCACTCGCGAGAAAGGCTCATGATACGATTCCCTCCACGAACGTCAATTGCAAAATGGAGGCAATACGACAGTACGTCGCGTTCGGACGTGAAAACCTGAGTTTTCCAACACTTTTCACTCTTCTTGATACACATTACATTGCCCACATACTTGCTGATACCGGTAATCACACATAACCGTAAATGAGATGCAATTTCGATAGATTTACATACCACTCAAAAGAAAAATTCTACGAGAAGCGAGAGCTAGCACTATCCGTTTCCTTGTACTTCGATGGCAGTGGACGCTCTCCCAAGTCACGACTCCCTTGTCCCTACCCCCTAGAAATTAAATCGCGAGAGGCACGTAAGCCCGCGGTGCAATGCATCCAATCGGAGGTCGGATAGCAGTTGAGCTTCATAGTGTGGCACATGCGATTGGCTCAGCCTCCTACGCCTAGAGTGCGAACCGAGAAGAACCCTGTCAATTGTAACATACATGATACTACTTCTCAGCAACCTCGTTTTACTTGCAATAATTGCCATTCTATTATTAATATTAATTAAATTGATAAGTATTCTTGCTTAATAAAAATTGAATACAGAAATCACAGTATATCGGAAAAAAGTAGCCCTGTAATTGATGCTCAAACTGTGTTGAACTTTATACATATATCCATGAACACGCTTTGCGATTTTTGTCGTGTAATTCTGTCTGCAATGAAATCGGTCATTTCGTGGAAACATCCAGAAAAATATGTAAATTCTATAGAACATAACAAAGGATATGTCACCTCAACAGTGTGTAGTCGTTGAGAGTGTAATTTTTAATCATTATTCACAACTAATATATTTTTGACTGGAGTTAAACGATTATTCTGAGAAATAAAGCTTCTTCTACGTTTTCTGCTTGGAAAAAATAGACGCCATTGTGTATCTAAACGTAAATAACATTGTATCACGTTGAATTGATAAAATTATTGAATTTTGGCGCTTTTGTAAATTGAACTCTATAGCGGAAATAGTATAGTCGTGAACTCGATTAGATCGATGATTTTTTTAATTTCAGATAGCATTTTGACTTGAATTATATCTGTATTTTATCACAAAAATTTTGTAAATCAACACGTATATGAGAAGGGATTGTTATCAATGGTATAACTCAATGTATTTCTGACAATAAATTTTTCGTATTTATTATTATATATTCATAGAACATATATCATAATAATGTGTTTAAAAAAACAACAAAATCACGTAACTACAAAATGTTATTTACATCGATGACGCAATCCTTTTATACTTATGTCGTATATTTGATAGTATTTGATGATAATAGCACCAAAACAATAATTTATCTTATTATAAAAAAATTTATAGTTACAAATTTTTTGTGAAGCGAAAAATTATATTTTAAGTTGAACAAGAAATTAGGAATACCTATCCAGTAAAATTACTCTTTTTCTATAAATAATTTAGTTTTAAGTTTTTTAATTAATAGATAAAATAATGAGTTCATTTTATTGGGAAGACAATCCACGTTAAGTTTATTAAAAAACTGTATAGATAATTTACATTAATTTAAAACGTTATAAATTACTTTTTCTATTACCATTATTATAATTATTAAAATAATAATAAGTAATTAATAATGAAATATAATTTTATGGTCAGAGACTTGTTAACTTTACTTAATTTACAAACATAGTATGTAAATGGAGATTAATTTTGATAATTTTGTAGTACAATTTTAATTAATAACACATAGATCATCACATTTTTTATGTATAACTCAGTAACACTTTCTCTTTTCTGAAATTCTATTTCGATATTATATATATTTCTTTCTATGCAAGAATAATCTCACACATTATAAATTTATCTATTCTAAACTATAATTTGACAGTAATATAAATATAATAGTAAATGTAACTGACATTTTCTGCAAAATATTAAATCTATATGCTGTATTGCTTATATATCGCTTATGTTACTTATTGTTATACATAATAATAAAATATGAATTATGTAAAATGATATTACTATTCATTACAAACTACATACTCCGCTTTGTGCCTTCTACATAATCGTCTATAATTAAATTATAAATGTATTAAACTAAATTACTTAATATGAGGGATAGATACTTAATCTCTGCATTCTATAGCTCATAGGGCTTGGCAGTGTTTATCTATAGTAATGGTTCATGAAAAAGAATCTTAGTCACAATGAATTTGATTGTAAGGACATTCAAGAATATGACAACATGAATTTGAAAAAAGAAAAAATTCAAAGAATTTGTGATATGAATAATTGTTTAAGCACGTTCACCACGAATTCGTCTTGCTAACTGAATATCTTTAGGCATTATTGTAACACGTTTAGCATGAATTGCACATAAGTTTGTATCTTCAAACAATCCAACCAAATATGCTTCAGAAGCTTCTTGCAATGCTCCAATTGCAGCACTCTGGAATCGTAAATCTGTCTTGAAATCTTGTGCAATTTCTCGAACTAGACGTTGAAATGGTAATTTTCTGATCAGTAACTCAGTTGATTTTTGATATCTTCTGATTTCTCTGAGCGCTACAGTACCAGGCCTAATAAATAAAATATATCATTGGAATTAATAGAATAATTAATTATATCACAGATAAAAATTTTATGCAACATTTTTACCTATAACGATGTGGTTTCTTTACTCCACCTGTAGATGGTGCACTTTTACGTGCAGCTTTGGTTGCAAGTTGCTTCCTAGGAGCTTTACCTCCTGTTGACTTACGTGCAGTCTGCTTAGTACGTGCCATTTCTACTAGAATAAAATTTTATTATTACAAATGAAGAATAATCTATTTTTGTTTTAATATAAATGATCTTTATATAAAAAATTCTTTCATCTATTAAATAAGAAAGATCAATATTTATTGAACAATATAGTTATTTCCCTATAAAAGGTATTGTCTATTTCAAATTATTTCACGTACACTTAAAAATACGTTATATTATAAAATCAAATTTACAACAAATTGTAATCAAACGTAAAATGGGATCCGGTTTCCCTCCAAAAGCAGACACAATAAACAAAATGGCGACTGGTATGCATGTAGTACTGCTATGTACAAGAATTTGCACACCATGGAACTATCATAAGTTTTTTCAATACAAAATGACATTATTTATAAACAATATGAATGAAAATAATGTTAAATGTTGTTTTTATTATATTCATTTGACCATGAAATCAAATAAACGTACCTGCTATTCAATCGTTTTGTATGTAACAAAATCTCCACACAACCACTTCCTTCGAACGATATTAGACTTATGTCGGTTAATGTTTTTTCAGAAACGTAGTTTGGTCTTATGAGCGATAGGTGACAGCACTGTGTTGAAATATACATCACAGGATTGGTTGTCATTTCATAACATCATTTACGATTAGTCAATTTCTGACGAATAAAAGTATTTGTTATGGAATTTACAAGTTCATAACTATTTTAATATCATTTCATTTATCTCATGTGTCATGAACAGTAACATTGTAATGTGTGAATCATATTTTCTTAGAAATAGATATATTTAAAATTTATATGCGTCATATATTTGCAACATATATGATACAGGTGACTATATGTACTAACTTTTATGTCAGTACATTGATCCAGATAAATATACATGTGCCATTTATTTTGTAAAGAGGTTTTTCAACTTTTATAATAGAAAAAAGTAACTAATAGTTCATAACATAATATAAAGTTTAATAAAAACAATAGATTGAACAAAATTTATATAAATGTATTTTGTCAATAGATATATGGATATACAAATTTCACTTTTTATATATTAATTTGTATAAGACAATAATGGTATAATTTAATGACAAAAGCAATTAATGTCTTCAAAATATCGTCAAAATATGGTTAGTTAAGTGAAAATCACATTTTTAAGGCATATTCTAAAATAACGTAATATAAAAAATAAATACTCTAAACTCAATTTTGTTGATATATGTGATTAAAAAATAAAAATTTTTTAAATTCAGTACTATAAAATAAATATAAACGTTTCCATGTATTTACTATTAATTATTGAAATAATTATTATTTTTCGAATACCATGGTACAGAAGTTATCAATATATTTTATTTTTCAAATGATCAATTTTATTGATTTACAATATTCCTTTTTATAGTTCACTACCTAATAATAGCATAAGAAGCAATAATAAACATTCGTTCTACAAATTACGCCATGAGATAATTATTATCCTTATATCTTCGTCAAAATCAATGTTATTCATATACATATATGCATAATATATGCATACAAATACATATATATATATGTATAAACTTTCAGTCATCAAGAAAATATTAGAACAAAATTTATTTACTAACATTCTAACTACAGCTATGTTAATTTAAATATGTTATTTAAAACTGTATTGCCAAAAATACGTGTCGTCAATATTAACTTTTTTTGTCATTTGCACACAAATGATGCTTCTTTTTTTTCTTTATTATTCAATTTGTACTGACATTCATTAGAATTCGCCTACAATCGTTAATGACAACGAAAACTTTTTACTGCATTTTATTTGTTACATTTCAGTATAGTCTTTCTTTCGGTATGCGACCAGATATGAAATGTTATTCGACCATCGTGCAGACGTTAGTATATTATTGGTTTATGAATAATTGCATCGGTTTGGCAGGACATGAACATCAAAAATGCAAGCCCATATTACTTTTGTACTTTATAAAAATTCTTCACATGGAATGCGAAAATTATATTATACTCTATTGTATGAAATCGTGTAATGTAAAATATGTTAATATTACAAATAAAACGATTACAAAAGACAATTTGCTTATTCAAAATTTTTGTTCCCCTTTAAAATATACTAATAAATAAATAAACCATGCTCTTACTGCATAATTTAAAAGTTTAAACTTAAATTTTTTACTTGATTTTAACATATATATAAAAAGAATGGTTAACCATTTCTGGACGATTTTCAGTAATTTAAAATGTGAAATTCAATATATATATATAAAACTATTTGAAAATATCTTAAATAGGACAAATATAAAATTTTTGTAAGAAAATATGATACTTAGAACACATCAAAATTATATACAAAAGTATGCACATAAATGTTTCATTGTTTTCTTTCGTTGGATTCTTTTGCAATCGCAAGAAGAAAGAAAAAAAGAGATGAACAACCGATCTAGCAATTTTACATTTTATATTAACCGCTGCACACATAAATGCAATTTTAATGCATAATAAAAGTATTGATAAATGTACAAAACATTTTGTTCTTTAGTAACTACAAGGTACTGCCTGACATTCTAAACGACATACATATAAGATCTATAACACCAACCATTTCTTTCATAATTAATAATTAAATACCAAATATTGTTAACTATGTGATAATATTTGCCATTCGACTTGATCATAAAAAAACGAGTGTGTGTGTATATGTATATGTGT